AAAAGAGAGGAAAGGAAGTCATAAGAGATTCTTAACAATAGAGAACGAACTGAGGATTGATAGAGGGCAGATGGGTGGGGGATGGGTTAAATGGGTGATGGGCATTAAGGAGGCACTTGTTGTGATGAGCACTGGGTGTTAATGTAAGTGACAAAGCACTAAATTCTATTCCTGAAACCAATATTACATTTTATGTTAACTAGAATTTGAATAAAAAATTTGGAAAAATACAATAAAATAAAAATAATGAAAAAAAAGTAATAGGAGCCACTGTAGAATCAATAGTTCTTGCTTTTAGTGAAATCACACCTAAAGTAAACATCCCTAAAATGTAAGAATCTCAAAATTTTTGTTGTTATTAAGAAATTTGTTTTTTACTTTTTACAAACTTTTTTATATTGTAAAGCTCATTATGATGTTTAACCAGTTATTTGTAAAAAAAGAAACAACCACCAAAACCATACTTTACAGATACCAACGTTGTACCAAATGAAGTCATAGCTACCATATTATACACATTCAACGAGTTGTGTTCAAGAAAGTACCCTTTATTCTTTTTTTTGGTAAAAAGAGGCCTGTCTAGAAATGGATTATCCAGAAAAAAATATTTGAGGACAGATAAATTAATCACTAGTGAGACTTGGTCAAAGCATCTTCCCAGAGATGTAACAGTAAGATTTGTGTAATTTTGCTGACACCTGTGCACAACTGTAAATTAAGCAATCAGGTGCTAGTGTGCTTGACAATGTCTAGCCATCCATCCTCATCCGATTTTGGAACAAAAACATGCTTTCTCCTCTCAAACTAAATATTTTCTGTTTGACAACAGTAGATTTAAAATATTTGTTTTAAGTTATCCTGTTGGGATGAAAAATTTGCTAATATTTTTTAATGCAGAAAATATCCTGCCTTCTCTCCCTCTCTCTCTCCCTCCCCCTCTCCCTCTCTTTTCTCTCTGCCTTCAATCTTGATGTCTTGCAACTCATGATTAAAGAACTCCTGGCTTCCCTCCTAGCAATCTACATATTTGCCTGAAGTGCTCAACTTTTTGAAACTCCAGAATATTATTCCATACTAGAAAGTTGCATAGGTAGTTGGAATTGAGATTTACTGCAGTACTTTGCATGTAGAAGATGGTGTTAAATTTGGTAGTGATTGTGTGGCTATACCCAGAAGTTATTTATGAATTACTTAAAATGTAAAGAAAATAGGCCACCTAATCAACAGATGTCACAAACAACAACAACAACAAAACCTCATTTAATAAGTATAAAATATATTTGGAAATAAATCCAAATAAATATATTCCTGGAGGCTTGCAATAAATACTTGTCAATGGACTCTCTCTCTCTCTCTCTCTATATATATATAATTTTGTTTTTGAAAAGAAAATATACTTAGTGTTTACCAGTCATTGTCCCCAATAATAAGAAAGGATAAATCGAAAAGACAATGATATAGAGTGATAAATATAAAGGAAAATAAAAACAAAAATTAAAAAAAATGAAAAGTACTTTGCAAACTAATTTTCAAAACTCGTAAGTTTAAGACAAAATAAATTAGGACACTGTATTAGTTTTTGCCTTTCATGTTAGTGTTTTGTATTATCTATAATAAAAAATAATATTGTTTGGAATTAACGTTTTGAAGTGTATTAGCATTTTTGAGTTATACTTTTAAGAATCTACCTCGGTAGGGCACCTGGGTGGCTCATTCGGTTAAGCATCCAACTTCGGCTCAGGTCAGGACCTCACGGTTTGTGCGTTTGAGCTCTGTGCTGACAGCTCAGAGCCTGGAGCCCATTTCGGATTCTGTGTCTCCCTCTCTCTCTGCCCCTCACCCACTCACACTCTGTCTCTTTTTCTTTCAAAAATAAATAAACATTAAAAAAAAAACTTTTTTTAATCTACCTCGGTAAAGATTTTTTTAGATACCATCAAACCAGAAAGTTTATTTTCTGATTTCACATGTACACAGACTACATCCCAAGGTCTCTCAGATGTCCCGCCAGCATCTGAGAACACAAAGCTAATTGCATTGATACCCCCATTTCTACACGCAGCACAACACGTAGGGTATTGTATTTTTTAATTTTTTTAATTTATTCTTGAGATTGAGAGAGCAAGAGAGTGCACACGAGTGGGAGAGGGGCAGAAAAAGGAGACAGAAGCTGAAGTAGGCTCCAGCCTCTGAGCTATCAACACAGAGCCCAAGGTGGGGCTTGAACCCACAAACCATAAGATCGTGACTTGAGCAAGAGTCAGATGCTCAACTGACTGAGCCACCTAGGTCCCTGGAGGGGGTATTGTTTTTGGTTTTCATTTCCTTGGTTTGTTTGCAATAAATGGATCAGTCCTGAAATATTTAACTCAAATTGCACTAAAATGTTCATTACAAAAGATATATTTGGCTCACAGAACAGTAACTGCTAGTGTTTTTACGGTAGATCTCATTGTAAAATACACTATAATGGTTCTACGTGCTGTGTACTTGGGTCTGTCCTAGAAGCTGGTAATTTAATTCATCAGTTTTTTAATTTTTGTGCTTACAGAATGCTATCATTCTGTGAGCTGAACAGTTGTATTTTACTACAAACAATAATTAAGTCATGATTTGCCCAATTCTAAAACAATTAAGTTTATAAACATGTTTATCTATTACTGGTTTTTCCTCTATACTTTAAAAAAAGTCCTTGTTTTATTACTGATAAGCCTGATTAGAAACTATTACAAGCAGGAATCTGATTAAGATCACATTTTTAATTAATTTATTTTTAGCGTAGTCCATTGGTATTTGGCAATGTTCCTGAAAGGAAAAAAGAAGTCTTGACTTCCATAGATTTTGTCACATGACTAAAAATATTGTAGTGATAATAACAGTGGTATTGGTTTTTGAATGTCAAGAAAGTAATAGTAGCTGTAGTAAGAAGAAAATATCACAAGTAACACTAGAATTCAGGAGAATGTGTACAAGAAGAATTCACAGCAAGACAGCAATATCAGGAATGGGAATCTAAAGAATGTTTCTACTTTTATAAATGCAAAACCAAAGGGCACCTAGACTGTAGTTGGAGGCTGAACAAAACAAGTGTACCACACAACTGAGACGAGCGGATGAAGATGCAAACCTCTCATGATATTTTGGCAACAAGACCTCCATTTTGTTGTTGTTGCTACTGTCGTTCTTGTTGTTGTTAAGACATTTTAATGAGGGAGAAAAATCCCCAATTTTGAAAAACACTAACTCAGAGGCCATGTATGGTCCAAGAGGATCCAGCCTCCAGGCAGGTAAGGGAAAATTAAGGAGATGTTTGCTCCATAGTGAAAACCAGGCAAGTACAAGGAGGAACGTGAATTAGATAAATGAAGGTCAAGTGAGCCAGAAGGTTGAAAGATCATCAGAATTCTGCTGAGCCCCGTTCCCTCCATTATTTCATGTCAGATCGACGTAGGTAAGAAATCACAATGTTGTACATCCACATCGTCTCGTCTGTTATGCTTTGGGGCATCACTGTGTGAAAAGCACCACAGCCTGAGAAGGGCTAAGTGCTCTGTCTCCTCATTCCTTTGAGAGTTGGCCTATCTTCACATCTACCAAATGGCCACCTGCTACTGAGACTACCTGCCTGTTTGTTTCTGTTCAAAGAAGAGTGAAAACAACAAAAATAATAAAGGTACCTTATTATCACAGGTCCCAATCCCTTATCGAAAAATTGGACCAGATGTGATTGGGGATTCAGTGATCTTCAGATTTTAGGAAAGTGTTATGTGTAATACATTACATATAATATTTATATATAAAATATTACATACAATACAGCATATGGTGAGTTGACTGCTAAGTCTAGGACAGACTCCAGAACTGAATACATTAATATTTCTATAGAATGTATAGGGATATTTATAGAATAAATATATATCATGTCCTTCTTAGAGATGCCTGGACATATAATATATATTATATTAGTGTTGTGTCATTTCATGTCAGATTTTGATGTCAAATATGTCTTTCTAAGCTTTTACTTTTTACTTTACTTTAAATTTTCTAGATTTCACAAGTTGAAAAAAAAGGAATGTTGGTCTTATAATATCATTGTATTAATATATTTATCATTAAACCTCAAAACTACTGAGTGAGTTAGTTATAATTCTTCCCTTTTGAAGATGTGGGAATAACACTGAGAGTTTACAAAACTTGCTCATAGGCTATAGCTGATAAACAATGTGGGAGAGAAACTGAAAATGAGCTGTAAAGCATCCCTTTGAGAGCGAGATTTACACAGACAAGGATGATGTAGGTAGTCGCTAGCTGGATAAATCACTCTGTGCACTTTTACAGAGACACTTCCAAAATCATTTGTTGCCCTGATTCAACAGTTTCAGACCTACCAAGGTTCCCTACTTACTGGCTTCCAATACCTTCCTATTCTGGAAAGACTGTATTAAATTTTCTAAAATGCACTGCTTACAACTGTTATCCTGGAATAATTGCAATTTTTTTCTACTCTAAAAACTTACCTTCACAATATATGCAGTGCTCCAACCAGAGTCCATCAATATCAATAGATATGATGACACTGTATCAACCTCTCCATTTTCTGTCTTCATGTTATACTCTTCGACTACCTGGAAGGTTAAACAAAACCAAACTTTGAACTCTCTCTCATCCCACCCTCTCCAAACCTAAATGCTCATGGAGGATTCTGTAGTTCAGTAAACAATACTCCCACTTTTTCCATTGCTGGCTCCAGAAACTGAGACATTCTTTAAAAGGCCACCCGTGAGAGATTCTGTTTAAAAGAGAAGCATGATGATACCACGCCCTTTTTCAAAACTGATAGTCTGCATTTCAGTCAGAGAGGATGGCAGACTTGTTACTACGGTATATACAGTGAACTTCACATCTTGGTGCTTGGCTACTTTTCTGGCTGATAGGTCGTGGTGAAGGAGATGTTCTGAGGCTCATTAGGCTAGGTCATATAAAGCCTTACCGCATCTTCCTGAGTCTCTTCTGGTGTTTCCAGTTGGAACCAAGCTTCCATACTAGGAGAAGACCAGACCACACAAGTCGGTTACAGGGGGGCCCAGCTCATGGCCACATCAACTGGCCGCCATGGGATTGAGCCAGCACAGACATGCAGCCCACTCAGTCCTTCAGACGTCAGCTCCTGTGAAATATGACACCAGTCACACTTGATATCCATGTAAGATCTACCAAGTTATACTCAGTCAACCCACAGAATGAAGAGACATAATAATAAAATTTTGTTTTGTGCCAATATGTTGTCAAGTGTTTTGTTGTGTAGCAATAGATAGAAAAAAATACCCTTCGCCAAAGATTCAGATCACATAGTATTTTTCCTTCCTCATAGTTATTTAAATATTTTCAGGGAATAACACTTATAAATTTTTTTTTTTTTTTACTTGTGTGCAGACTTCTGTGAATTCTGTTAGTCAGGAGGGAAAAAAAAAAAAAAAAGTACAGAGTGCTAGTTTGCAGACATATCCTCATTTTGAAGTATCCGGGCTTGCTCCCAAGCAAGTTTTTTGAGCCAGGAGCCACCTGCTTAGAGACATCCCACCAGTCAAAGTTACAGATGATGAGACACCGCGTGGCTTGAATGTGAGATTCTCCAAAGGCTTCATGTTAAACACATGAGGTTTTCCAATGTAAAAACCCACTTCTTACAAGCATTATATGCCCTTATGTAAAGGCAAAGAGCTATGGTCCTGGAGATTGGTCCTGGACTGGCTTCACGTCCATAAAGTTAGAAAAAACTGAAATAAAAGCGTATTTCAGAGACGTGAAGCAAGAAATCATACATGGAACATCGGCGGGAATGGTGGATTAAGAGTTTCTAAATTGTTGCCTCTCCATAAGAACAGTGAAAAAACTGGAAAAAATGGAAAAACTGGAGAAATAAAATTTTTTGAAAGTCTGAAAATAACCTAAAGCTTGTAATGATCAGAGAGAAGTTTATTCATTAAAACAGTTGAATCTTGGTGAGAACATTACAAGTTACCCTATTTCCATCCCCTTGTCTGAGCTCTGTGGTAACCCTAAAAAACAATGGCTGCTTAATCATGGTGACAAACAGCCGGCTAGTGGCCCCTGGGGGTGGAAGAAGTTTGGAGTTCCTGAAAAGCATTAGTTTCAGAGAACGGTCATTTCTTGGCCTGTCTGGCAGGTGCCTGCAAATCTTCCTCGTATGGCTTATCCTCACTTGACTTAACTGGGAGATCAGCACAAATAGCCTGTTCTCAGAGGGTGTTTTCAAAAACAGTAGGCAGCAACTGTCTAATGTCGCAGCTGCCTGTGGCAACACTGGGGTAGGAGCCAAAAAAAAAGGTCGAAGGTGAACTTTGGGACTGAGGGATCCATTAGGGTTTTGAGAAGCTCCAGCATATTCCAGGGAATCTAGAAGGCCACACACATGTATAGGCCTGTGCACGTGCCCAAGGCTATCTACATTCCTAAGGAAGGAGTGAGAGCGTCCCAAGCTGCCACTTCTGGTTGACCCCGAGGCTCTATGCAGGCAGGAAGTGAAGCAGAAATGTCAACCACCGGCCAGAGCATCTCAGGTGTGTCACAACACACATTCCCACGCACAACAAAGAATGGGAAACCCACTGGTTCCAGGATTTAAAGGAAAACGTGATGAACTGGACTATATCATAATTAAAACTTCTGCCCCTAAGAGACTCTTAAAGCCACAGACTGAGAAAAAGTTTGCAGATCATATATATGATAAAGGACTTGTATCTAGAATATGTAAAAAAAAAAAAAAAATCAAAACTCAATAAGAAAAAAAATCTAAACAATTTGAACACTTTATCAAAGAAGACATATGGATGTCAAGAAAGCACTGAGGAATAAAGAAAGTGTGGGCCCTCCACATGATGGCATGCCACCACCAGCAGAAAGGAATGAACTATTAATGTTAATGAGGCAACATGAGTAAATCTCGAATGTGTTGTGCTATGATGGAGACAGAGTCGAGGTGAATATATTATAAAATGCCACTGGTAGAACATTCTTGCAAAGGCAAAGGTGTAGCAACAGAAAACAGAGAAGTGGTTGCTAACACGGGGAACAGAGGGAGGTGGAAGGGCCGGGGAAACATTTTGTTTCTTGAATAACACTGGCCAAAACTCACTGACCTGTGAAGTCAAAAAAGATGAATTTTACTGTCTTTATATTATACCATAATAAAAAAATAGAAGGAAGAAACCCCCACTATCAACTACATGTAAATAAATACCAAACAACATCACTGGCGCGGTAGAAGGAAGGTGGAAAATGTTTGCATTCGGTGTTTGTACCCTAATATTGAAAGAGACAATTTTAGTATTTAGTATAGTAAATTCAAAAATTCTAATTTGGTTTTTACTTATCAGTGGATACATCCCAACAGACATAGATAATTTTAATAGGTGGTTTCACGTGTTCCCCGAAGGAACATCTGTTTTTCTGGAAGGCAGTACGTTCTAAAGTCAGCCAAATTAAACCGACTATTACCCGTTTGAATCATTATTACAGCAGTGAATGAGAATACCTAACCACATTTTCCACAGCAAGGACAATGATTGTTTTGCTAGATAATTTTTAAATTTATTCCTTCTGCTAGTATTGGAACTCTTCATAATGTTTTCTTTCTAAGTGGTTATATTTTCCTAAGTGCTCAGAGCTTAGAGTTTAGTGGTACTTCAACCCACATAGATCATTCTTCAAGTTCAAGAGCCACCGACATGAATATGTATAATTTTTACACCTCAATTACCCATTTCGAAGTAAAGACTGTTTATATTCTTTTTACATTGTTATCATCCAAATGCAAACCCTTTCATCTCTTGTCATGACATGAGCATGAGGGAGGGCCCTGTCCTTCAAATAGAAAAATGGACGTGGACTATTTGTCATTTCCCTGGGAAGAAGACCTTGTTGTTTTACGATGTCTTTACTTCTGCTTCGGTTTATCTATTCCCCTTCTCCCCAGCTTAATTACTTAATTTGTGGCTTAATAATAGCACCAGATTAAGAGATCATTTGGTGGTGCCTGTGTGCGCCACTACATGGGGTTGTGACAGCAGATTAGTTCCTTTCGCTGATCTGTGGGGATGTCCAAGATAACACAAAACAATTTAAAGCACGTGCCAGCACTTAAGCAATCTCTTTACAGGATTATGTTATTTAATCCACACAGAATTTCATTGAACAATACATCGTTATTATCCACAATTTAGCAATATGGAAAATGAGACGGAGAGATTAAGGATTTTGCCCAAGGTCAGGCAGCTGGGAAGAGGCTGTGAAAATAAACCTTCTATCTTACTTCTTTTAAGAGAAATGTAAACAAAATGACAGCACTTCCCCTTTGATCAAGGAAAATACAAAATCAGGAATGTCAAGTGGGTCCCACATTCAATGTTCTTGGGGCACATACACAGACACAGACACATAGGAGGGGCAGGAGAAAATGTTGGAGGTGAGGGCTGTGTTTATTACATTGAGTGTGTGAGCATGCATCATCGCACCTGTATGCATATCTCCAAACTCATACAACTGTACATAGTAGATACATGGAAGTTTTTTCTATATCAATTATTCCTCAGTAAATTGGTTTAAAAAAAAAAAAGAAATATAGATATCGCTTTAAGCATGCAATCAGCTTTCATTAAGCAGACACTGGTAAAACAAGTCGGGTGGGCCTATAAAAGCTTGGTTTTTCAGGCTTTAGGTTGTAAAGCATTTCTCTGCTGACAAGAGAAGATAGAGGTCATAAAATGTTCAAGACTCAGGTTGCTTAACAACGAATTCACCCGGTAACTGATCCGGACGGACAAGAAAGTGAAACTAAAATGTGTTTCTCTGTGGTCACATATGGCAAATTTTATTACATTTTTTTTACCATTGGGTTAAAAAAAAAAAAAAAGAATATTTCTTATCAATATTTTACTAAGAGAGTTGCAGCTTCCATATTACCATGAATATATGGAATTAAGAACATAATTTGAGTTGTTTTGTTAGTTCGGGCCACTATAGCGAAAATGCCATGGACTGGGTAGCTTAAGAAGAGAAATATATTTCTCAGAGTTCTGGAGCCTGGAAAGTTCAAGATCAGGTGCAGACCAATGCAATTTTTTTTTAACTTTTTTTAATGTTTATTTGTTTTTGACAGAGAGAGCATGAGCGGAGGAAGGGCAGAGAGAGAGGGAGACACAGAATCGGAAATAGGCTCCAGGCTCTGAGCCGCCAGCACAGAGCCCGACACGGGGCTCGAACCCACGGACCGCGAGATCGTGACCTGAGTCGAAGTCAGACGCCCAACCAACTGAGCCACCCAGGCGCCCCAGACTAATGTAATTTTTGATGAAGCCCCTTTTTCTGGTTTGCAGATGGATTCCTCTTTGCTGTATCCTCACAAACCGGTGAGAGATCATCTCTCTCTCTCTGTCTCTGTGTCTCTTTCTCGTAAGGATGCTAATCCCATTCATGAGGGTTCCAGAGGCCCTGCCTCCAAACACCATCAAAAAGGGGATTAGTGCCCCATTTAATACATGGATTTTGGGAGAGACACGGACATCCATAGAATCATCAGAATGGTTTTCATACAGTGGTCGTCTATACTATTTTTTAACAATGGGCAAATGATTTCTTCCATCCTTTATTTTTTCAAACATGTAGAAAGAATATCTATTTTTTTCTCAGAAAACCGCTTTTATTGTATGCCTCTTGCAAGAGTTTCAAAAAGATATTTATAAATTGTTAAAAAATATTTAAGTTCTCTGATAGTTTCTAAACCCAAATGCATGTGAAAAGTCAATTGCCAAATAGCTAAGAGTTTGATTATGAATCTTCCTGACTCAGGACCCATGATCTTAACCAGGAAGCACTTCCTGTATGCCTCCTTTGCTTCCTGGTTTTGGTGGTGGATTAGTAACATCCCGCACTGATTGGTTCACGCTCTGTGCCCTGGGGACAATGCGCGTCCTTTCTGGAAGCTGGTGAAGGTTGGGGACTTCAACTTTTCAGAGAGAAGTACGCGATCTTTGTCAGATATTCTTGCTCTTAACACAACCAGTAAAACCACAGATTTGTCACATGTCTGAAAATGTCCATAATATTTAGTGATAGCTATGCACAAAGTGTGAGTGACCTAGATTGTCA